TTCTTGCAACCGCCTCTGATACATTCTTCACATAAGGGCTTGCGAGCCAGAAATTAGGGTCCTCTCCTTTTGACCGCTCATGGTGGGACTTCTTAAGACACTTGCGTACAATGGACTTTGGATAACCGTCGGCGCGAAATTGGACATGCAAGTACTTAATCTCCGCTTTTTTCCCACTTTCGTCACTGCAGTGTGTCTGACCGCGTTGGAAGAGGGTTCTAACACAACTGCGTTTGTCACCAACGGGGTTGTTGCTTCTGAAGTGGAGAATGCGCATGGTTGTCCTTATCTTTCCGTCTGCCAGTTTCTTCACTTGTACATCGAGGAAGGGTAACTGATTATTGACCTCTTCTTCCGTAGTGAACTGGATGTCAGGAAAGATGGAGTTCAGCAGTGCCTTGAAGGTCTGCACTTTGCTCTTTTTGATGATGACGAAAGTGTTGTCAACGTATCTGGCCCAGAACTTCGGAGGAGACGGGCTGAAGATCAGCCGCTCGAGGCTCTGCAAAACAGCTTCGGCAATAAGGCCAAACAGAGGCGAGCCCATCGGTGTCCCCTTCTTTTGTTCGTAAACTTAGCCATTAAACGTGAAGAAGAGGTCAATACACCTTGGTCACAGAAATTGTTTCTTCTTCTTCTTCCTCTTCCGGGGATGATGAAAGAAATATAATGTAATTAATATTTTGTAATTGGAAACACATGATATATTTTCTATGAACATTTTGTGATTTAGTACATGCACTTACTACGACCAGCGTTTGAGATGTTTTAGCTAGTGCATGCACACGCGTGACGATCTGCTGTAGCGGGCCTGGGTGATTCGACCCACCCTCTTATTCAGAAACGGTGACAGAACACCCAAGGCCTAAGTAATCCCCTTACGGCTTGACAGACCGTGCTGGACCAGATTTTGAGGCAGCCTACACATCAACGGCTTTAATTGGATAGAGGAACTGGATTGAGGGGGAACACATTGAACTTATACTGTGGACAACATAGCATTTGCCAAAATCTACTTGATCCTTCTTCACGTGTCGCCTGAATGTTAAATGACTCATGTGAACTCGAAAAATGAATCTCAATGGACGATTGTCAGACGCCTCCATCCTTCTTGCGTATTCTAGCATTCACGATCATACAGAAGGCTTGAAAAATGTGATGCCTCGTATGCACGGATTTTTACGGCGATGGTGATATCGTATCGTGTCCACAGATACTTTCAACTATACGGACAATTCGTTGATGAACGTTCATCGACCTCTGACGGAACTCACTTGTCCCGCTCCGCCTTTGCCTTAGGCCTCATTTATCGGCCTCTGATAGCAGCTGTAGCTGGTTGTAGAATAAACAAATGATATTGCCGGCAAAGACAAAGGAGACTGGAACGGCCATTTCTGGCTTATTAGCCGTCGTCAGCCAGTTATACCCAGACACAAGTGGTGCCCCACTGGAGGCTCAAACTCGCAACCTTTTTGATCAGGGTCAAACGCCCTAACCATTGAGCCACGAGCTCGTTGATTAGCTGGTTTAGGTCATGGGATATTGACTCTAGTTGATGAACGTTTATCTGCCCACTAATGGGACTCATATCTCTCGCTTTCTTTTCTATGCCGGCAATGATTTCTGGCTAAACTACTAGCTGTTATGGCTGTCAGGGCCTTCGGCGCGGCACAAGATAGAGCGGGACAAATGAGTCCCGTTAGCGGTCAGGCGAACGTTCATCATCAAGTGTCCTAGTATGATCAATTTAGCCCTGTGCTGGTATCAATTTGGGAAAGCCAACTGTTTGCTTTTACCTATATTGAAGGCTGTGGAGGCTCGTAGTCAGATTCACTCGTCCTCGGTATCTTTGTTCACCAGGCTCCGTATTTGCACTAGTTTGATGTTCATTCCAGTGGTTGGATTCGTTCTGTCTGCAGCTCGATCTAGTATCCTTGTGACGAGTCTAGTCTGTAATTTTGCCCCCTGACGCCGTCTTTGTGGTCGAATGTGCAATCATGTTATCAAGATGAGTGGTGATAGTTTGTCGAATATTTGGCACAGCATACCACCTTCGGCACAAGGACGCCCACTGTATTTCTTCGTCATTTTGACTAATTTTGACACAGGATTAATGAAGATGTCAGCAAATGGACGGATAGATAATATTGCCGGCAAAGACAAAGGAGACTGGAACGGCTATTTCTGGCTTATTAGTCGTCGTCAGTCAGTTATACCCAGACACAAGTGGTGCACCACTCGAGCCTCGAACTCGCGACCCTTTGATCAGAGTCTAACGCCCTAACCATTGAGCCACGAGTTCGTTGACTTGTCGGCTTAGGTCGAGAGATATTGACACCCGTTGATGAACGCTAGCCGACCTCTAACGGAACACAATTTTCCCGTTCCGTCTTTGCCTTGGGCTTCATCTCTCGGGCCGTGACAGCAGCTGTAGCAGCTGGTAGTATAGGCAGATAATATTTCCGGCAAAGACATAGGAGACCGATAACCTTGAAAGTGGAACCGAACAGGCCCTTTGTCATATTTACTCCATGCATTTGACAGCAGTCTGGCCCCGGGGTACTTAAAACTCTCTTCGTCTCCAAGTTAACAAAGACTTATTTCGCGATTGGCTTTCCCCTGGTCCGAACTTCGGCTCTAAAGTAATGCAGTTCGCACAGCTTCCTTGTTGTCACTTGCGTAAGCCTAGCATTGCCGCCACTGTAAGTATGGGACCGACAGTTCCTGCACCGCAATGCACCGCGACACATAAAGAATGCATGACAATTTCCGGCATTACAATAACAAAGTTTTCTTTTGGAATTTTCTGTGAGGTCCATTTCACGGACACGAGCTTGTTTTGCAAGCACCTTTGAACTACTTACGTCTACAAAGAAACTGCGATATTTCCTATTTTTCACATCAGTCGCTTGAAGGTATAGTGTCGGGGCCTTTCGCAGTGAACCCCGAGGAGCAGGACAATTCGTTTACTATCACCAATTAGGACCACTGTTGTCGCGGATACGACAGAGGGCTGACAGACGCGATGCACAAGTCTTGCCCCAAATCTACGGCGTTTGGTGCCGAGGGAAGCGCCAGGAGGACTGCGGATGGATGTGAGCACAGGGACTGCAGAAATAAAGCGGCCTGTTTACGCGTACTTTATGCGATCTATTCTCTAACTCTGCGCACGCAGGCTTCGACGAGTTGGTCTCAGAGCACACGCAACAGGGGGTGCCAGAAGAGCAGCGTGGATCTCAGGCTCTTCTACCTCCCCCGGGCAAAGGTCACGCCTCATATGCGGACATGGACCATTGCTCTGTGTCGAGCGCGACTGGGCGACCAAGTTTGTCACTACGAGACCACGTCTGTTGCGTCAGGAGTTAGGAAGGCGTCGGGCAGCGGCGACCACTACAAAGCCATAATGAATGGCAATGGATTATTGTAAGACTCTGCTGGCGAAACCACTCGATAAATAGGCGTGTAATGATGTAACAGTGGCAATGCGGGTAGGGCCGTTTAAAAGACGGAAAATGGTGGTAAAGCGTTAGTACTGAGAAGAAATTTAAACGTCCATTTTCATCGCTCACATTTTCTGTTTTTTTTAGCACTGAATAAGGCCCTATTCCACCCCTACCTACCCGATAACCTAACCCCAACTCTGACACCGACCTTGACCCTATCCATTTTGTTCTTTAGGGCTAACGTTCGTTGCCGATTGAGTAGGGTCACACAGGCATTCGTTGCCTAATTAAGGACTCACCCAGACTCCACGCTGCCTGACAAACGTATACCATGAGACAGCATTATCGTTCCTTTTCCCTAACGCCACAGCTGCGCAATTCAAGCACGAGATATATAAGAAAAAAACTAGACAAGGGTAGAACAATGGGAGGAGGAGGGGTGTCAGGGCTAGAAAGCTTGTCCACCTTTGTCACATACACGACCCCCGCAAAAAACACATCCAACTTTCACCCTAAAGGACTTGGGTCGATCACATCTTGCGTGCGTGAGAGTGTAATATACCACATTACAAAGACATACATTTTAAAACCATAGAGTCAGATCGCCAGATAGTGCATGACTCAACACAGAGCTCACGGAATTTGATTGTTCAACAAGTTTAACTCTCGTCGATTTTGTTTTTCAGTATACTTCAAGTCAAGGCAATATTATCTGCCTATACTACCTGCTGCTACCGCTGTCAGAGCCTCTGCCGAGACCCGAGGCAGAGCGGGACAGAGGAGTCCCTTTGGCGGTCAGCTGAACGTTCATCAACGAGTGTCAATACTCCCTGACCCAAAAACATGTCTCAATTGTTAGGGCTTTCGACTCAGATCAAAAATGTCGCGAGTTCGAGGCTCGAGTGGGGCACCACATGAGTCTGGATATAACTGGCTGGCGACGGCTAATAAGCCAGAAATGACCACTCCATGCTCCTTTGTCTTTGCCGGCAATTCTATCTCAAGTCAACCTGTGAGTTTCCGTACAGATCCACGCCAGAGGACGAACATGATGCCCTTTGTTTCGAGCGTACCTGCTACCTCCACACACAATGCCGAAAGAATATAACTCTGTCTGTCTTTAGCATAGATTTCAACTCTATAAATTAGTACCTGTCACTCGGGGACGATGAGTGACCAGGAAAAAGGTAAAAGCGAAATTCGTTGTCCCTCCCCCTCTCGCTTTACTCCAATTGGGTGCAGTCTCCTCATTGGTTGAGAAAGCAGGAACTTGTGAATTTTAGCGATGCCGATGGCTCCTTTTGTGCCATTTTTACTAATACAAACCGTAGTAGATTGATGGAAAAGTAGGGATCCCTGGACCAACATAATAGCTGTGGATTTGGGTTAGTTTTAAGGCTTTTAAGCCAATGTGGGCAACAGCTGATGACAAATAGGATAGAAAGCAACGATACTGATTGATTATTGTTACCGATAGGCCTATATAATTTAATTTGTTACTAGCGCCCACGAAGGGCTCAGGTGTAGGCTGCAGTTAGGAAGAATGTAACTCAGTCGTTGGGCCATAAGTATAATTTATTTTAAGGTTGCAATATTTCCTATCACAGAAATCCGAAGAGCAATTAGCGAGCATATGTATACTTTCAATAAATTCTCATCAGGCCGTTACATTTATATGGGAGGGTGGTCAAGTGTAAAAGGTAAAATTGTAGGTAACTTATGTTCAACGATACAAGGAAATTAGTCCAAGTGATAGGGGTGGGGGTTGGGGTAGTAACAAGCGGATTGTTTTAAGGTTGCAAAAATTCCCATCACAGAAATGGATTGTTTTAATGTTGTAAAAATTCCCATCAGTTTATTTATTGATGGTGGTCATAATCTTCAACGCTGGGCTAAATGTGCTGGTAATGCTGACAGGGGCCGAGACTTAACGTAGTACCTAGCTATACCTAGTTGCCTCTTTTGGCGTTCCACCACCAGTTGGTAATGGTCATAATCTCCTACAATACCTCAATTCAGCGAATGTTAATGCTGACACAAACCAAAACGGAGAGGCGACTCCCCCCAGTCACCTCATGCGCGTTTCCAACGATAATGCATTTGCCTATAGTAAAATAGAGCTGAATGTTGTACGGTGCCCATTTTGTAATTTCTTGCAGACTAATATTAACATGAAAGACTCCCACCCCTCACCCTGTGACCCGTCCCTTTCTACTGGCTGTTTCAGATCTAAATCTTACCAAACCGGAGAGTCGGATGCACCTCTGGAGCAAGATGAGGAAGATTGTGCGTTATGTTTACCAGTACCGTGATGAGTACGACTACTTTTACAAGGCTGATGATGATAACTACCTGTTTGTGGAGAATCTGGCAGAGGAACTGAACAAAAGAAACCCTGATGAGCCCTTCATGATGGGACATCGTTTTCCGGTAAGGTTTATCATATCTTGCAAATATTATTTCTCGCAGCCTGTGCTGCGTAGTCCGTGGTGGGACGTCGCCAATATTTGATTTGATCTGATTGAGGATTATGATCGACAAAAGTAGAGAAGACAGGAATGTCTACGATTGGCTCATTCTCTAGTCAATCGTACAGAAACCCCAGGTCAGGCAGGTCCCCCTTGTCAAGCACTAGTGACTTTTGCTAATTAAGAAAAATATTTCATCATTTGGTCAGGGGCCTGCAATCCGTAGGATGGGATTAAAATTCGAAAGATTAGTGGTGCAATAGCAGTTATCTACCCAATGGACCGAAATATATTGCTTTTTTCCTGGGGTCTATCGTTACGTGCCTTTCTTAGTATGTTAGTGCTCTTACAAATAAGGTTCTGTTTGTTTCACCATGTCCACTAAAGGGCAATTATGGCGGTTCCTTAAAGCGAAGTATATTAATGTTTTGATTTTAACCCTAGTATGTGGCCAAAGAACAGAGTCCTCTTACGCCTCTTGTTAAATGCCACAATAGCGCTTTCCTTTTCGTTATGGTTTAATACGTGAACAGAATCTACTAACTTCCTTTGAAAAATGAGGCTCCGCAAATAGGACACGCTGTGTGCGATTGGTAGGGACAGATTACTAAGCTTTTATGCATATACAGTCGCTTCTCCTTATTGATTTGGTATGTACATTGAACTTTTCTCTAAATCTACTAATAATTTCTGTCTTCGCTCGCAAGTTTTGCATTTTCTACTTCATAATATTTATAACTCCGAAGCCCTGACCTTGTGTCATGCAAACGTAAGCCACGGGGACGACTCTAACCTCTACAACTGTCAGGCTTAGTCCTCAATAGAAAGAGATGATGTAAGACGCCAGTTGATAGGGTACTATATTTCCTACATCAATATTGGATATCATGTTGATAAAGGTAAGCAGCCGAACGAGGACACATGTCCGGGGCTACGAGAGCCGGTATCCCGTGTGTGAAATATAGACACAGGGTCTTGAATGAGAGCATGTCTGAGTCGGACTTAGCGTTGATTGGCCTACTTGGATAGTCGTGATTAGTCGACGACCAATCAGACTGTGCGTACAAGGACGCACGAGAAGCGCAATGTTGCAACAGGCGGCCGTTGAAAACTCACTCCACTTGAATTTTGCTGATATCCGATACCTGAATATAGCGGTGATAACGCCATGATGGAACCCTGGCGGTGTCAATTCCAAGTAATCCACCGCGCTTGACATTCTCGGGCGCGGATATCAGCAATCAACATACGGAGATGAAGGGACGGCTCCGAGCCTACATGGGTGGTTGGAGCGAGACGTACATAATGGTTTTATTCAGATGCCATTGCATTGTACAGTAAAGAATGCAGGAAATGCACAACGCCTGGACGGTTCGCAAGGCAGAAGAAATCCAAGGACACGTGGACCGCTACGAAACAAAGAATTTCTTCAAATTCATCAGGGCTATCTACGGCCCCTGCATCAAGAGAACCGCGCTGATGCCCGGCCCCGATGGAACACAAACTTCGACGGATAAAACGCACATTCTGAAGCATTGGGCCGAGCCCTTCAA